ATGATGATGATGATGAAGTGTCCTTTAGGTTTACTGGACAGTAACTGTTTCTCTCTTTGAATGTGTACATTTGATGTTATACGTCCTCTCAGTATTTGTAAAGCTGCGTCCACAGTTTGGCCTAATGACCTCAGAACAAATAAACTCTTGTTCACACACACACACAGATTTTGCAAACAATGGCAGGTGATGTAATAACTGGAGGGACTGGGAAGGGCTGATGGCTGGCTGTTAAGCGGTGGCCCAATTTGAGCTTCGCATCCACACAGGAACCAGAGTCCTCCACAGAGCCACACTGTTCACTTCAATAGCAGTTGGAATAAAATACACTGTAGCACAGCAGTCTCCAACCTTTTTTGCGCCACGGACCGGTTTATGCCCGACAATATTTTCACGGACCGGCCTTTAAGGTGTCGCGGATAAATGCTACAAAATAAAACCAGTACTGGTACCAAAAAAGAAGATTTATTCATAACACACGTGAAAAGACCCTGAAAACCGAGTTAACGATCAAAACGATAACAAAATAACGCTGAAAACCAATAAAAACCCTGAAAACCATACATTTCACACCTGAGCCTCAACTCTCGCGGCGCCTCAACGACTCACGGACCAGTACCGGTCCGAGGCCCGGGGGTTGGGGACCGCTGCTGTAGCATATCAGCTTCATTCAGAAAAAGAAAGTTAACTGCACAGAATCTCCTCTTATCTGCAGATGATGTGGTTCTGTTGGCTTCATCGGGTGGGGGCCTCCAACCCACACTGCAGCAGACCCCACCCTAGTGTGAAGACAAGAGTCTGAGGCCATGGTCCTCAGCTGGAGAAGGGCAAAGTGCCTACTTCAGCTCAGGCACAGATTTATAGCTGCTTTGAGATTATTATGTTATTCCTGATTGAATAAAAAAATCAGGTTGTAACCAAATATAAAACTAAGGTATGATTATCATCGCTTTTGTCCTTGTTTAATATTTATTCTATATTTTTTTAATCTTTATTTTGAACATGTTGAAAAAGTACAACAAAATAAAATTAAAAGAGACAAATGAACAAAGCAAAACAAAAGGAAAACGAGCAACCACAACCATTTAAATCCAGGTTGAGGACTCACCTGTTCTCATGCTTTTTATTGTTTTTGTTTTTTAATGTCTCTGTGAAGCACTTTGAATCACCTTGTTGTTGAATTGTGCTATATGAATAAACCTGCCATGTACCAGTATTTCCTGTAATACTGTGTCCCATCCCACAGATACACCTTTACACTACACTGTACCCTATGAGGACATCCAGATCACACAAGCTGTGATCAACAAGCTGCAGAAGTGTACTTTTAAATCAATGAACAGTTTGTCTCTGTTCATGATCAGCTCTTTCTAGATGACTCCCTTTAAGTCAGTGTGTTGATGTTTATTTAGTCCATAGTGAAAACCTATTTCTGGTATTTCAGGTGGAGTCACAGAACTTTTAACTTACTTGTTAATCACACTTCAAAACATAGTGACTAAAAAAAGGAACAACAGATCAAAGTCAGAAAATGGCAATACAATGCATGAAACAAGTTTCTAGTTTTCACCTCCTAGGACCTGGCGTCCACAAATGTGGACATCACATTTTGGGTTGTCTAGACCAAAATACTACATTTTGCTCTACAAGGGCCTGATATCCACTTACGAGGACGTTATTCTGCTACTTCTCTATCAAAATTTAAAACGAATGTCCTCATATGTGGATGTCAGGCCCTTGTAGAGCAAAATCAGGTAAAAAGATAATTCTTTGTTTTTAATAATGGAGTGGATTTATATAGCGCTTTTCAAGGCACCCAAAGTGCTTTACAATGCCACTCTCACATTCACACACTGGTGGAGGCAGCTACAGTTTTAGCCACAGCTGCCCTGGGGCAGACTGACAGAAGCGAGGCTGCCATATCGCACCATCGGCCAACACCAGTAGGTGGCAAGGTAAAGTGTCTTGCCCAAGAACACAACGACCAGGACAGAGAGCCCGGGGATCGAACCGGCGACCTACTGGTTACAGATATGCTTCCCAACCCCCTGAGCCACGGTCACCCTCATTCATCGTGTCCCAATCAGCCCAAATAGCAAAGAGAAAATAAAAATGCATGAAATGAAAGAGTTCGGGTCTTAGGAGGTTAATGTTGATGGTGTGCAAGCTTCAGATCTGGGGATCCACACGTTTATCTACAATGTCACACCTGAACAGACACAGGTGATTATGAGAAGTGGTCAGTGGGAACAGTACAAAATCAGATATGCATTAAAAGTTTAATAACGATACTAAGGCGAAGAGTACGAATTATTCACCTGCGCCTAAGAACATCATGCCAAATAAGATTTTATTTCCTCACTTTGATTTTGTCTATGGCACAAAATCATAGCTTGTGTTGGCACAGTACAAATTCAGGCTCCTGTGAGGAACTTGCTACATATGTAGATAACGTGTCACTGACATGCAGTGACCATAACACAGCCATTTTAAAGTGGGTGAGCAGTAGAAGACTGACCTGTTATTGAAGTTGGTGCAGTAAGTGAGGTCCTTGCAGCCCAGCTGGCAGGGCTCTCTGACGTCAGCCAGGCAGTTGATGAGCTCTGTTTCCACTGGGTTGTACTCACAGAGCTGGTCAAAGTCTTGCCATGTCTGGCTGCCCCAGTTGGAGCTGATCTCCAGACACATGTCCCTGGAACACATTTATAATCAACCTGTAGTTCACCTCTGCTCGCTGTAAATGACACCCAAACACCGTCTTTCACTGATGTCAAGAACTAAAAGTGGCATACCTGCAGAGTGAGGTGTTGGCTTTGGAGCAGCAGTGCAGCTTGGCACAGTCCATCTTGGCAGGAAGGTTATCCTCTTCAGTTATGGAAGGAGTCTGGACACTGCTCAGAAAGCACTGCCACATAGGCTCCTGAGGGAGCGGCTGGGAGCCGCACTCTTTGATCAAACCCTCCATAATCTCATGCTCTGTGCTCATAGTGCGAAGGATTTGTCGGCAAGCCATCTGGCAGTGGGTAGCTGCCCTGTCGCAGCAGTACAGACCTGCATGTGAGACAACGTTACTGAGTTTATACATCGCCCACTGAAATTCCCACGCTCACTACATCAGTCACGAAACCGCACACACAGAGTTTCCACAGATATTTGTATGTCTGTTTAATGAAGTGAAACACTAAACATATATAGTCAAATGTGCAGGATGTCTCTCTGTGTGTGAGGCTGGCTTTATGGAAGATGTTTAGTGCAGACGTCCCACAGTGGGTTGGTTAATACACTCATGTTAACTAACTAGTGACAGAACAACAGAACCAAAGACAAGAACCAGTCGTGGGGATCCCGTCTGCACCAGGCCTGGCTGCAGCACTGAGCTGCACAGCAGGGCTCCGTGGGGTAAACACATCCATGTGCTCGGTGTTCAGGACGGTCACGTGGTGCAACAAAAGGTTTATTCAACAAACCTTCAAGCAAGGGTGCGTAGACCTGGGATATAGAGTACGCTTGGGGAGTGTGATGGTGTGTACAGTGTCTATTTAACTGTCTCCACGTTGGGTGAGTGCTGAGTAATTGCATATGCAAAGCACACTGTGCACTGTCGATCTTACGTGCTGCACAATAATATTCAATATTTAGTATTTACTGTTATCTTCACATAGATCATCGCGATGATGTCGTTTATTATATTGCTGTCTTTCTTTGCTTGTTTTCTCTTTTTTCTTTCTCAACAGGTGATCCAGGTGATTCATAGATGTATTTTTTGTCGGTTTGTTTTGTTTGTTTTTGTTTTTTGCCCTTTATCCCCATCCCTCTGTTTTTCTTTCCCTCTTTCTTTCCCCCAGTCACGTCTGTCCCGTGCGTAGAAAGTGAAAATAAAATAAAGTAAACAATAAAAGGTGAATCAAATAGACCAATACGGCCGGGATGGTCCATTTGGTAAGGTAAATCCGTTGGGCATCTTTGCCTTTAGACAATAATTCTGATGGCAAAGAGCCAAACGGGACAGGAGGGAAAAAAAAACCTTTCATCTGAGTTTTTAAAGTTATGGATGAAGATCATTTTTGCCAACTTGCTGACTCTTCAGCATGAATTCATAACTGCTTTTACCCTTGGACATTATTAAAAACAAATGTTTCTGTATTACCTGTGGAGTGAATGGTAGCTCAGTCAGTGGTAAACATGGATGAGCTGTACTCAACTTCCTGTCTTAGTGATCGTTTTATATGCACCATATGACATCTGCAGAGTCTCATGGAGTTTGTTTCTAATCCAGCACTTTACTCTCTTCATAGCAAACACTGAGCTGCACTTCCTTTTGTTGTGTGTGAAGCAGATGGACTTACTGTCCACAGGGCTGTGTATGGGGTAGGACTTTGTGAAGTTGTTGACACAGTGAATCAGCTGAGCACTGTGAGTCTGACAGTAGTCTTTGACAGCGCTGATCTGGGACACGGTGGGGGTCGAGTCGGTCCTGAAGATGGCCTGGCAGTACTCTCTGCAGGTGGTGTGACGACCTGCATAGCTGCAGCATGTAGAGCCCACTGCAGGGACACACACACATGCACACACAGGTTAAACAGTAAGAACAGCTGGCTGAGGTTAGGAGTATCAAAGTATGCGGTGACTGTGCCAAGTGGGCCTGAGGTTTTCAAGCTCTGCCAAAATCCCAGTTGGTTACAGTCAGGGAAACAATACCATGACTTGCAAAGAAATGAAGAGTTTATCATTGTGATGGTGCTTTCTTTGTTATTTGTCACACTGTCTCAGATTCACAGATAAACTGGAACAGTGAGGACTCCATCCAGGACAATTCATCCAGGAGCACAGAAGCACAGAGAGAAACAAGAAATGCAGATCTTACTCGCCTCAGGTCAGAGTTCATTATTCAGCATTAAGGAAGGCGCGGGGCAAAACTGGCATCAAGGAGTTCCAAGGAAAAAGCCCCTGCTTACCAAAAAGTCCACACAGGCTCATCTCACATTTGACAAAAAACATTGTGACGAGCCCCAAAACCTTTGATAAAATCTTCTGTGTGTTGTAAAGTCCCGATCCATCGGCATGAAACTAACACAGCATTTCATAAACGCAAAGCACCAACAGACAAACATGGTGGGAGTGTAATGGTCTGGGGCTCTGCTTTGATGGAACCATATACCCTGAACCCACACCTGAAGCTCAAGCACCCTCAGGTTATGCAGCATGGTCAACCAACCAA